AGGACAAGCATCCAGCAACCGGGAAATCATGCAATCAACGCACGCAAAAATGTAAAAAAAAAAAACTAAAACCCTTGAATTGATAGATAATAAAATATATACAATTACTGTTATAAATATAATATATGTTGATCCTATCAATCATATTAAAAGGCTAAACTTTGATCTTTTTTAGGACTCCTAAACTGAACAGAGGCTTGAGAAAACAAAGTGCTGAGCAGAAGAAATATTTGGCGTGTCAGATTCCCGGGCTGTTAGCAAACATGGAATATGTAGAACTCACTGTAAGCTTAAGATGTTCTGGCAACAAATCCTTCAGCTGGGCGATGCATTCGTTGATTCTGTCACGTCGTTTCTTCTCGATGAGTCGGTGGGGCAACTTGTATGTCTCCTGCAAAAAGGGTCAAATGTTGTCAGTGAAATCCAGGCGCTTTTGATAAAGGCAGGAATCTTCATGCATTTTGACTTTTATTTACCTTGTTCTCATCCACACGCTTCATTCCCCTCCTGGGTTTGTACACATAGATGGGAAACTCGATTCTTTGGAGACAAGATACAAATAGTTAGTCTTTAGTTTTTTTACGTGTCAGGATAAAAAGTGGAAAAGAACTGAATAACATTGAAATATTCCTCTTACCCTTGCATGTCAGCTATATCCATTGATGGGTGTTTTGGCACACAGGGAGGCGGTTGCGCGCTGGTAATCCTCTCCATATTGCTAAAAGTATGAAACCCGAATAAATGACTTTTAAAAAGCCTTCAAAACGCTCCAAATGTGTCTGCAGTCGCGACCAAAAATCATAGAAAAACCTCCAAATAAAGGCAAAAGTATAACGTCCTGATATCCCGGGAGTTGGGCAGTGTTGTCACCCTGAGGTCCGGACTGTAGATGTGTGTCTGGAGAAGCTCCACGCCCGGCTGGATGTGTGAGAGGAGAGAGGGTGGGTTCTGACTACGTGTTAAATAAACCCTGTGACTGCAGGCACGTCTCTGGGCTGGAGACACACACTCCACACCGTCACATGAGCCTCACGTGTTGGACGGCGCTTTCAACTGCTCACCCTCCCCGCGCCACACACACATGCGCGCACGCACACATCATGCACGCGCGCACCTCCTCCCCCAGTCCTGCTGCTGGAGTAGAACCCATTGGTGTAGTACTCCTCCACGGGGGTTGAGTCTCGTGTACCATGCTCCGGCTGGCGGGGCGAACCGTGTTTACAAAGACAGAAAGTAGAGCAACACTCGCTGTTCGACGGTCCAGACGCAGAGGAATATTATTATTTTAAAACAGAAGCCTTTATGTTGAATTATAAGACTAATATTACTAGTATCGTCAGTTGTATTGTTGTTGTTGAATAGTTGTTATTTGCTTTATGAAACACACTTTTATCAGGTGGTTTAAAGTTCATATATTATTAATGCAATACAAAACACAAAATAAATACATGACATTTTTTATAATAAAACATTTCAAATGAAACAGTAATTATTATAACAACAAGTCCTCAGTATTAACAACCAAATAGTTGGACGTTTTAATAATGACGTCACAGTGTTTCTGTTTCTTTTGGCTTTTAGTCAAAAGAAACAGAAACACTGAAACACTGTGACGTGTTTATATATGTTAGCATTTTAACCATGAGTTAAATGGCTGTATACACAATGAGATTCATTAACGTCATAATAAAGTCAACCCTATGTCAGATTTGGTTTCTATTTCTAGACAACACCACATATGTTGTTTTTACGAAGCTGGATAACAGAACTATTTAACAAAAAAATATATGATAATATTAGTAATAAGTTAACATAATTATCTTACCATAACTCCAACTATTTGGTTGTTAATACTGAGGACTTATTATAATAATTATTTTGTTTCATTTTAAATGTGTTATTATAAAAAAAATTCATTTATTTATATTGTATTGTTTTTTGTATTGCATTAATAATATTATGAACTTTAAACCACCGGATAAAAGCGTTTTTCATAAAGCAAACAACAACTATTCAACAACAACAATACAACTGACGATACTATTAATATTCGTCTTATAATATGTCCAATGGTTTAGTCTTTTATAAACACTGTGCACTTAAAATATCTATTTTTTTTATTTTTCTCTATGTTTAATTGAACGGACGAGACGCAATACTTTGCTCACTTTTCCTAATACGTTACCAATAAACATTACATAAAACATACAACCTATTATAATCTCACAAAATGATTCAAACAATGTTTTTAATGCATGTTCGTGTTTTATTGCAGCGAATTATTTCCACATTGAGTGTGTGGCAGGGAATGTGTCACGCGCTCTGTAAAGCCTTGTAATTTAATACTGTGCCCTCTCGCTGTGTGGCACTTGTGTTTTTTGTATAGCTCCTAAACGCTGTGCTGATAGCAGTAAAGCCTCTGTACCTGCGGGCTGTCACGTTGAGCTCCTCATGGCGGAGGGAAAAGCCGAGGAGCAGCCTCGATGGGAGCAGCTCATCTTTGCCGGTGACGTCACTGCGGAGATAACCGAGAGTGCCCGAGTGGTCGCTCGGTTACACGCGCCGACGTCCCGAAACACCACATAAGAGGGGAAAACAGGTGCAAAACCCACGGTGCGCCATACCCAAAATGAAAGGCGCGGAAAGGGTCAAAGTTTGTTTTAAACCCTGATTATTAAAAGGTGGAGAAAATATAACAAGTGTCTCTAAAATCCTCCAATGCTTCTGTTCTGTTGAAAATAAGCAAACATAAATAACATGATGTAAACAAGGGGGCAAAGGTGGAAGAAGAATCCTACTAGTACTAGTTTTTTGTAGCCAGAGGCCTACTAACTAGTGATGGCGAAGCCAATTGGTTCGCAAAAGGGATCATTTCATGAGGCTTCATCTTGGGCTTCATTTGAACACAAACCCTCCTGTTGGTCAAAGTGTGTAATACAGACAGATACAGTGTGCTGTATCTCATACCGAGTTCCCAATGAGTAAAGCCTTAGAATAACGATCAACAAACATAAAATCATATTTTCATGTTAACAATATTGTATCTATTCCAGTTTAATGATTGTGATTGAAAAGCCTAAGGAGGCTGGTAAACATTGCAAAGAGGGATTTGTATTCCTCAATAATATTCGTAAACGTAACCATGTTGTAGCCTGAGAAAGGATAAAAACCATATCAAAGAATACATTTATTAACTACATTATCTCATTTAGCTGTATACACAAACAAAAAATACTTACCAGTCGTTGAACCAGGGACGTGCACAGACATTTGGAGGGGCTATTGCTCTAAACTGGAGCTCTAAACCCCCCCCCACAATAGCCTGTACCTGTGCACGTCCCTGCCAGGGACCCTGCGGTTGTGAGTCAACTGCTTTCCAGCTGAGCCATAGCCCACACACTGAGTCTACCTGAAAACACTGCACCCTATTTATTCCTGTATGTATTCCTGTATTTATTTATTTATGTTTTTATTCCTACATTTATTTATGCTTTTATTTATTTATTTATTTATTTATACTTATGACATGTTCCGACCTCTACATAAGTGAGGGTCTGAGCTCTCTTAATTCCATCGTGTCAACGGGCCCGGGTACAGGATGGGTAATGTCATTCTTATTATACATCCATGGGTAATATGAGCGTTGTGCTTCAACCGATCTAAAGCACTTTCTGAAGCAGTCACGTGGTATTGAGGGGCAGCGAGGCTGTCCGAAGCCTCGGCGCAATACGTAACATCACTACTACTAACGTGTTCAAATAATATTTTTGAAAAACATTTAAAATCCTGCATTCAACATTGGATTTAAAAAAAAAAAAGATTTAGCAACAAGATATAGTTTAAGTACAACAGTAAAAGTATGAATGCAGAATGGCCCATTTTAGAATACAAAATGATTGTATTATATGTACACAATACATGTATTCAACTGTTTATGACTTAATTGTTGCTGTTGGTACAGGTTGGGGTTATTTGAATTACTTTACATGCTGCTGGGCGGCAAGAATATAATAATTTATTTTGAATCTCTAACCTGCTGCAGAGTAGCTATTAATTTAAGCTAAGTAACTGAATAAAAAATACAATATTTGCATCCAAATTGTACTATAAAGTAGCATTAAATGGGAATACTCAAGTAAAACACAAGTACTTCAAAATTGTATTTAAGTGTAATACTTAAATAAATGTAGTAACTTTTCACCACTGTTGAACCATTTTCCTTTGAAATGTAATGGAATATAAAGTAGCTCTGGAGTAAATGTGCCCAGTTTCCCCTACTGCGAATAATTACCCATGCTGCTACTGTGGCAATGAAATGATTATGTCACGATAAAAAGTTTGAGGGACAATGTAGTTGGCAAGAATCTACATTACGTTACTCATATGTTCAACAGATTTGATCTGATTCTGTGTTAGCAGTTTTTTTTTAACATTCAATGTAAACCTGTGGAGGATAGGAGCACATTGATGAGCAACATGCATGCTCTCACTTCAATTTTAGTTTGACTCAAAGCAAAACAGCATCTTGACTCCGAGTCATTTACACTGCATTATTCTATGTTGCACACATGGTGAGAGAGACTCATCTGAAGACGAGAGAAGCTTGATAAATACTTGGCATGCAGAGAACCCTTATAGAAAGTCCCTATACATCAGGATATATGCCAATTTAAATGCAGCCGATTATACACATTCCACTCGAATGCTGGTAGTTTCCCTGAAAGCTAAAACTTAATTCAGGACAATAAAGTTATATTAAAACTGGAACACACCAGCTGAAATTCCTACATCGGATTCGTGGAATTTATTTATAGTTGTATCTAGAACAACATATACAGTGTTCATATTGGAACTGTTTTCTTCTATCTGATTTAATTTACTAAATTAGATTTGGGTAAAAATGTACAAAGTTGTATAAATAACCTTCCAGGCTGAACATTGTTAAACAATAAAGCAATTTATTTTATATGGATAACTACTAACAATAAAGACAACACACATTTAAGGATAATTACATCAATTTTAATAAATAATTCTACTTTAATATACAAATAGACAGTGCTTAGATCTTGAGTTAATCTTATCATTCAGTTGTTTTTCTCCAACTCGTTTTCTATACAAAAGCGAAGATAAGCAGCAAACTTTATGTACACATAGTAGTCAAAAAAAAAAGCAGCATGAAAACCAACTAATACATTTTAGAGAAAAGTAAAATAAAAGTTAGAGACTCAGCAAACATGTGTCGGACTTTAAACAAAGACGGAAACAGGCACAGTGGAACATGTCTGCTGGACATTATGCTAATGAAGTTTATCACAGTAACATACTCCTGAGCATCTTGTAATAGCGTGAGTGATACTGAATAAATCACACATTCTACATGTCCTTTAGAACTGAATTAAACAAGAAAGCAAATTTATCATAAAATAAGTTAGCAGTGAGATATGAAAACACTTGATTTACACAGGTGAAAGAAACTATTGCTCTCACACAATAAATAACTATCTCTATAGAGGGTGGTGGATGTAATTAAGGAGGCCAGCTTATATAGTATTATCTCTATATTTGAGTAAGCAAAGACAACTACTCCCTATTTAATCCAGAGAAACAGAAACAAATTGGCTTTTAAATAAGACATGATCGATTGAATCCACACACCAATGAGGTTGCATATTTAAGTTATTATATATTGCACCACATACAAAAATAAGACATTTAATACTGCCCAGAATAGAAAACATTAAAATGGGACTAAATATCCTCCTGTCCAGTTCATCAAGTTCAACCAGTAAAGGCCATGTGTTGAGAAATCCCAATTGAATTTTTTTCTACGTAGAAAACTTTTGGCACCGTTTTTCCGACCGGACTGAACAGAACGAGGTGAGTGAGCGTCACTTTGTTAGCGTGGGGTAGAGCTACACATCGCCTTATGACTACCTATGGTACAGTGTTTCCCTACCGTTACTATGGATTACACTCAGTGCGGTACGCGTTGTATAGCAGAGCCGTGACTCGACCTTACGCGGGTTGCTGGGGGTTGGCGTTCATGTGCTGAGGGTGTCCCAGCAGACCAATCCGCTGCTTCTGCTTCCTCTGTTCGGTCATCTGAAGAGCAAAGAAAAAAAAAGAAGACACATTTTACAAAATGAATCCACCATTTTCCTCCTCTTGGCTACATCCTCTGTCGATCTTACTTTACAGAAGCGAACACACGGCTCCACTGATTCTTTTGAAATCTTTTCAAGCATCGTCATCCGCGCTGCTCTCTGTGACCGCTGACGAAAGCAGCACAAAACAATATACTAATACTGAAACCCGGTGAAAAGAAATTTCAAACATCAAGCAAAGCACTTGAGTCATAACACAGGTGCTAGCCTTTTTAGCGCCACAAACAGAAAGGGAAAATCTTCTTTCTGCCAAGAATTCACTTTTTCCTTTAACAAAAGGGGAGCATTTGACAACTCGGCACTGAAACACAACAATATTAAGAGCGAGAAGTCAAAGGGGTCTTGCAATGAGTGTGTCAGGAGGGATAATTCAATGTGTTGAAGAACATATCATTAAAACACATCAGTGGACGGTGTAAACTCAGTTATTTTAAAGAGAACATCAGTAGCACACTTTACCGCTTGTGCTCTACTTTGAAAGAGTGGCATGTTCTCTCTGAGAGGAATCAGCATTAACGTGACGGCACAATCATACTTGTTGAATCGTTGCTTCATGAAACAAGTCAAAAACAGGCCTTGCACATGTTGGATTGGGACTGAAATGTGACGCTGCTGTGCCCTTCACAGCTTGCAGCAACACAATAATCATTTCCCTCTGTCTGGGTCAAAACGTCTCGGTAACATTCACTTCCTCACACGTAGTTCTCATTTCAAGGGTAAAGACATTTTTACTATTCTGTTTACTAGAACCGCAGGATTGCAGCAATTGTGCAATAAGTCTCATGTATTCTTAGGCAATGAAGGGGCACTTTTCTGTGTGTTTATTTTGCAAAGTACTCTTTTAAAAGTCATTCTGAATGATTATTTCACTATAGAAATACAGATGACAGAGCCAGGGAAAGGGAGGGAAAAATAAGGATAATGTTTATTTTAAAATGTTGAAATCAAAAGTGTCAGGCATAAGGAAACTAAATGAGATGAGGAAGATGTTTCGGTTGCATTCTGAGAAGAAATTCTGAATAATATTACAGGTAAAAAGCTGAAATGTTGAGAATAAACATGTGATTTCTACCAGAGCAGATAAACTGAAAGCTCAGATGTATTCTCTAAATATCAAACCATTTTCTAGGGAGTGACTTTGTTCTAGAAATGCAAAAAAAATACAAATAAATATGGATGTTCCTCCCTTCTATTCCCCTTACTCTTCTGTGATCTCACTCTACGGTCTAATGAAAAGCTATTATTTTGAATTCTGTGCTCTGGTAAATTCTGATTCAACGAAATCAATGAAAAAACCAACACTTAAAAAAGAATCAAATGAAATCAGATTAAGAGCCTTATGAGCTGTGTTGTGATTTGCTGTATGACTCACCACCTCATGCATTTAGAAAGTCCTGCATCTAAAGGGCAAGAGCTGCAAACAAACAAACTTTGTGCAACGTCTGCTCTCAGCATCCGTTTTGAAACCCCATCAATTTCTTGTTACAGCTGAACACACCTGCTCTTTGAGCTCCGTCAGCTGTCCTGACAGGTTGCACACCAGCTTCATGGTGGACTCCAGCTTCTCCTGCAGGCTGCGGATCTCGTTCTGCTCCCCGTCCGCATCGCTGCTCACCAGGGACATGGCCCGCATCCGAGGGAACCAGTCCAGGTTGTGGTCCTGGGGAACACACAGCTGAGGGGTTAACAGCAGCCAACATGGTGACACTGATGCATCACATGCTTTATGGTTTGTCTTAAGTCCGTTGTAAATTGGGCAGAAATATTACGTTTCTCTCATTTTATTTTTTCAGTAGGATTATGGAAAAACGAAACGGTACCACTTTCATGAAATTTGGTGGAAGGATGTAGCATGGGCAGTCAAACTTTAGAGCGGATACACACAATATTTAGTTATTTAATTAAAGCGGCCTTATTCTGCTCATTTCCAGGTTCATATTAGTATTTTGTTCCTCTCGTGTCTCCANGCTTTAATGTTCAAAAAGCTCTTTATTTTTCTCATACTGCCTGTACTGCAGCACCTCTTTTCACCCTCTGTCTGAAACCAGAGCCTAGTCTGCTCTGATTGGTTAGCTGTTTAGAGATGTCCCGCCCATTAGCCTATCAAGTACAACCGATAACACACTACACAGGAAAGGGAAAACCCAGAAAGCAGAATAGGGCCCCTTTAATTACGCAAAATAGGACATGTTGGCCTGGCGGAGGTCTACTCTCTGAGTACACATCCTTTTATTATTATTCGATTAAACTGGAAATCTGGAAAGAAATGGCTTTAATTTCTATGTTTTATTAGAAAAATGCTTCACACATTTGGCATCAAGAGTTAACAACTGACAAGCTCTATTTGATTAGTGTTCTTTAATGTCTTCGGCTTTAATGGCTGTGTGCTGTGATTTGAAGACTACTATAAAAGCAATTATGAGGGACTTTCCATATTTTAATCACATGGGATGTGGGGACATTCTTCAAATCAATGTAAACAGGCCGTTCACTTATTGGTGACATGTTTTCCATCACGTCTACTCGTACCTTACGTTCATGCATGATACAACTTACACAAAGATGAGAAATAAATGTCCTCATTTGACTCGCATCACACGCCGATATAAACACGAAGCAATTTAATTCTCAAGTGAGGCAATACAACTATCATTGGCTGTTTCATTAAGAGCTGAATAAAACTAGCCACTCTATCTGGAGGTGAGGTTTATTTTTAAGTGTGTGTGGTGAGTTACATTTGTTTCACTTAAAGCTCACCTATTATGCAATATTTGAACAATATATTACAGTTTCATATCTATACAAAACATGTCTCTGAAGTGTTTTGCTCAAAATACCAAACCCATTGTAGCCCTGCCTCATACCCCTCTATTTCAGCCCTGTTACTAAAGTGCTGATTCTGGGTCTGTAGCTTCAAATGGAACCAAGCTGATGCTGGCCACGCCCCTTTGACCTTTGAGTCTGTGAAGAGTGTCTAACGGCAGAAACTCGTGATTAAACGACATATTATGTGCCAAACCACATCAAGGATTATTTCTGAAAATGTCTCAAATGCTTACTCTCTCGTGGGTCACAAGGTGGGTACCTTTTTATATCCGGCTTTTTTACACATATTTTCTCCACTACAGCGTTAGCTCTGAGTGTTAGCGATGCTTGCTAATGTAAACACAGACCATATTACATCAAAAACACATCGCGCATTGTTTCTGATACAGCACATTTCTAATAGGGGACGATAGGTTGGGCCGTGGACTGAACGTTGCCAGGAGTTCAACGTAAAGCCAGCACACATTATAGTAATGTCGTCATGACCGCAGCAAAATCTGGATCAGCTCTGTTGAACCTCCGTCTTAGAGATGTGGATATGGAGGAAAAGAGAGAGGGCCTTTTTTTCTTACCCTGTGTGAGTCTCCTTACACACCGGGGACACCTATTTATGTATAAAAGACATCGACAAGTACATTTTGCATAATAGGTGACCTTTAAGAGTACACGTTTGATATACAAGATGAAGTGCTGATTCGTTCGTGTTAAAGTTAATTTTAAATATCCCCTGGCATGAACGACACCTTTGATTAGGGACTGCTGACTAAAGGTTATAGAGATGTTAAAGCTTAGCATGATGTGGGCACGATCACTTTCAGTACGTGTGATGGTGTAAACTGATTACAGTAGTTAGGATTGAAAAGGCAGTTTACATAGTGGGAGGTGTGAAAATAAAATATCTTAGTCTTGGTTGTAATTTTTCTGCATCCGTTTTATACGTGATGAAATAATGAAGCAGAGTTATTATTACGATTTTTATGAAATCACACGTACACTATTCGTTCTGGTCGACATTGTTTTAGTTGCTAAATTTAATTGATTTACATGCAGATACTAAATCTCGACAGGATATAGTAGTTTTCATTATCAGTGTTGGAAAGTCCCGTTCTTGGACTTTCATTCACACGTTTAAGGGATTTTAAAGAAGCAATGCCTCTGTGTAAACCACTTTAACGTACATTAATACCTGCCATACTGTTTCCTCTCTCAATGTTGTATCACTGCTGCTGCTTCACATTAATAGCAGAGAAAGAAAACAATATATGGCCAGTCCCAGTCTGTCTATTGGAAAATCATCATATATTTTTGTGATATTAATGTCTTAAAAATGGTAAAATGCCCTAAAGGCTGAATCCAAACACATTAATACCAGAGGAACAACATATTATAACTAGAGAATGCAATTCCTGAAGAAATTATTTCTTCAGGAATTGCATTCTCTAGTTATAATATGTTGTTCCTCTGGTATTAATGTGTTTGGATTCAGCCTTTAGGGCATTTTACCATTTTTAAGACANATCAACTGCCAAAACAAATGACCTTAACATGTTTCCACAAGTGAGAAAAAGTTATTATATCCTGAAAAATTATTCGGGCAGAATCTTTCACTTGATGGGGTATAACCTTTTTTACCCGGTAGAAAAGCTAATTTAAGACACTTGGAGTTCCCTGGTAAAACCTTTTTTTTCAGCTGTTTTAATTGTAATATATTTTAATTCCATTAAATATGCTTCATACTGGTATTTGATATACTTTATTGGCATACGGGGTAAATCGTAAACATTTTGAGTCTCCTTGGATCAAGCTAAATGAAGCGTAATATAATAATAATAAAAGCAGAAGAATAAAACATTGATTTCATTTTTCTTCCTCTCTTGCCTCTCAGGGCTTCTGTCATTCAGGCAGACACACAGAAACAGATCTGGTAATATAAAAACCTCTCTAATTTCACATTGTATATTTATAGCAAAATGTTAATTGCGTACTTCCAGGAATAACATTTTGAAAAATGTACACGAAACACCGCACCTATTAAAGGGCAATGGTTTTAATCATCTCCCCGTAGGGTTGCTTTGTTTTTGATCATTTTCTTCTGAATCTACAAATCAAATGTCCTCGAAGGACGAGACGAGTATCTCGCATTAAGTATATCCATGGAAATCATAACCCCCAAGAACACTTGCTGGTGAGAATGTAGCAGGTAGCACAGCGATCGTATCTGAATACCAAATGAGTGGAGTTCAGCGCTGTTCTCCTATCTGCAGGGCCTCGGGCTACACAGCTCTATCCCCATGAGTTTACCATCAACACGTACAGTTCAGCAGGCCCGAGATACAGCAAAGACAGCGGAGAACCTTTCCCCTGGCTAATAAGACATCTGACTCACAGTTCAAGGAAGAGGAAGTACTCTTTTTTGGTCTCGAACACATCCACCAGTGCGAGAATGTTTGGATGCTTCACCCTGAGGAGATGTGTCACAAAGACGGAGAGAGAAACAAAGAGAGAGAATGATGTCAGCATCAGTCATTCAGTGGAGGGAATAATGTGAAGACCTGCTTTAATGCACATACATAATACACGACAGTCCTCACGGAGAGAGGGAGCACGGTCAGTTTGATTTCACAACACAGATCTATATGCTCAAATGTGCATCCATAGATACCAGATGTATGTCATGTGATGCGTTCATGTGGGCATAGAGACAGCCATGGAGCAGCATGGAGCTGAACAGCTGATCACGCCTTTCACAAACACAGCACCAGCTGGGAACATTAAGAATTAATTTAGTCCAAAAGGGAAAAAAACAAACAATTGATCACGCAGGAAGTTTGTGAAAGGCTCCTGTTTCTTCAAGGTTATTCTTTAAAAAAAATCAAAATGGTGAAAAAGCTGTGTCTGAAATTACCTCCTTATTTACTTTGTGAATGGAGTATTAACTTTGTGAGACCTTTGTGCGTGACTATCTATTTGCGTCATGACTCTCAGGTGCAGTCTCTAACTGTCCGTTACGTCAGCAGCAAGGGAAGAAGATTTTAGCAAATGGTATGAAATGAGCATTTTTCCCACATCCAGTTCCCTCATCTTGAAGTCAATTATTTTGTTGAATGTGTTTGTGCTTGGATAAAATAACGTCTGTGGTAAACACAAGCTTAAGAGATGTTCTTGTTTTGTTCTATGACACAAAATACTTCAGTAAATACTGGGGATGTAACGATATATCGAATATCGCGGTAAATAAATGTCTCAATACCGTTGTGAGACTGACAAAATATACCGCGATTTTTTTAATTTTTCTTAAATAATCTTTTTTTTTTATAATTTTTTTTTTTAAACCTTTATTCAACCAGATGGTCCCATTGAGATCATCAATCTCTTTTGCAAGGGAAACCTGTCCAACATGGCAGCAAGTAAGTTACAACATGAACATAACACAACAGATAACACCAAAGGACATCGTATGTACAGGGCTACATGTACATACCTAGAGACATTGACAAGTACCAACAGTATATTTATATCTCGCCCTGTCAATAAGCCTCACCTTCTTGGCAAAAACTGTATTGTTATTGAAGTGGTGGAGGGACAATGCACAGTTTGACCCACTGCTGTCACCCATGGCCAAAGCATATCTCTCTGTCCCAGCAACATCAGTACCAAGCAAGAGAGTTTTTTCCACAGCAGGGGATATTGTAAACGCCCAAACATCCCAGCTTCTACCTGGAAATGTGGACATGCTCATATTCCTAAAAGATAACCTTGATGATGCTGAGTGAGTGAGTTAGAGTTGAGTTGAGTTACTTGATTTATTCTATTGCAGGGTCTGANTGATTTTGTTTGTTGGTATATTCATTTTGGCAAAAGGCTGAAGTGCACAACTAACCCATCGATTAAATAGGACTTTGAGTGACAGATAAGAGCAGATAACATTTCCTTTCTAGCGGGGAAAGAAAAGGAGTGAACTAATCAGTACTAATTGTTTGTTACATAATTTGCACCAAATATGTTCTTTGTGTAAAGTGTGCCCAAAGACATTCAAACTCACCTGGTAGGTAAAACATACAATAATTTGTGTTCCTACAGCATTTAGGAAACTA